AAAATAAAATAAAATAAAAAGTAAAAAAATGAGTAAATTTTATGATAAATAAAGGACTAAGAATTACTCATTGTCTTTGGTTTTGGTATCAGGATAATACTGTCTTAATAGTATTAATTGAAAAATATTCACTGTGTCTTAATTTTCTGCAAGAGTTTATATACACTGATATTATTTCTTCCTTCAGTATTTCATAAATTTGCCAAGGCCTAATTCATCTGGTCCTAAGGTTTTATTTGGTGGAGGTTTTTAACTACAAATTCAACTGTCTTGATACATTTATAAAAACTATTTCCTTTTTTTCTGTTTCATAAATTTTTGAGGTCTGTTATTAGGCATGTAAACATTTAGCAATAGTATGTCCCTGTTGTAAATTGACCCCTTCACCATTATGAAATAATGACCTTCTTTATTCTAGTAATATTCTCTCCTCTGAGATCTATTTTATTTGGTATCACTATAGGTATTGTGTCTTGTTTTTTTCTTGATGTTGGAGATTAAACCCAGAGTCTCACGTGTGCTAAGCACATGCTCTACAACTGAGCCATACCTGCAACCCCACACTATTGTCTATCTGTCTGTCTATTTTGTGATACAGTGGCCTGAGGGCAAGGCTTTTGCACTGAGCTATGTGTCAAGCCTTTTTAAATTTTTCATTTTGAGACTGATTCTCCAACTTAGGATCCTCCTGCCTTGACCTCTCTCACTGTTGGGTCATAAGTATGTGCCACCATGTTCAGCCATTAGTGATTTTCTTTAGCTTCTCAAAGTATGATAGAATAACATGGAATTTGAATGTTAATAAACCTTATTAAGAAGTATACAAGAATTTATATGGGCCGGAGAGATAGTTCAGCAGACTAAAGCACCTGCTTAGGCGAACTTAAGCAAGTGCAGGGACCGGGGTTTGATCCCAGACACCATTTGCTGTGCCAGCCCTGATCCCAGGGTGCACTGAACTGGCCAGAATCTGGTCGCAGTGGTGCATGCCTGTAATCCCAGCACTGGGGAGGCTGAAAACAGGAGGATCACCACAAGTCTGAGTTGTGTAGTGAGATCCTACCACAACCAAATACATTAAAAAAAAAAAAAAAACAAAAAAAAAAAAAAAAAAAAAAAAGGGAAGAATTTCTGGTAAGACACATTGGTATCTGTCTCCAGCAAGACCTTTTAGTCTAGTAAGTGGCTGGAAATCTATTTAGAAGTTGCCCTCAGCCAATTTCATCAATCTGTGTGTGTTCAAAGGGGCCCACTTTTGCAATTTATGAGGAAGGAAAACTACATTGATCACTCTGTTTTGCTTTTGGTTTTTTTCTTCAAAATACTTTCTGGGTTTTTTGTTTTGTTTTGTTTTCCCAATAAGGAAGTAAATTTTATGATTGCATGTTACAAACATCCTTTACTGGAGTGCAGTGAATGAGGAGTACCTGGAGGAAGGTCTGAGTGATAAGAAGGCACAAAAAGGCAGAGCCTTCAGCGTGCAGTTCTCAGCGTGACATCCAGGCACCCAGCTGGAGCCCTCCCATCTCTACCCACACACTGTAGCCTCCAATATATTTGTCCCTGCAAGCCCTGACATTCTTCTAGCCCACAGCTGCTTTGAATAGTGAGATTTCTTGATCTGCCATGGCAAGGTTCCACATATTATGAATATACTAGAATGGACCCAACTGTGTATCTCGCAACGTCCTGCAGGGGCTGATCAGAGTAAGGTGCGCGACAGAGCCTGCCAACCACAATTCAGTGAACTTTTTCCTAACCATGTTAGGAAAAAATTGTTATCTGGCACATGTGACTTTCTCTCAGATTTTTGCCCTGAATGCCAAAAATGGAAATGACGACATTCTGAGTCAGGTACCACATATTCTTCCAGAAAATAACTTTTTAAATCCGAAATTATCTCTATTTTCATAGCCACATCTCTATCATGTAGAAGTTTGTCCTTACACCCAAGGTATTTCTGGTTCCACCAGCAACTTTAGGTTATTCAGTATTCAGGAAGCAGAGCTACAGATGTTTTGCTATTGTGTAGGTGATATTTACCTGTTGCCAAGATACCAAGAATATCTGCTGTTCCTTGTTTTACTCTGAAAGAAAAATTCACTGAAGAAAAACAAGTGTCATCTGTGTCTGTAGTTTGAGTCAGGGCTTTCATGTTCGGTCATCTGATGAATCAAACGGCAATTGTTGTTAGAACCTAAAGTTGGCCTTGGTGTTTTCAATAAACTTGAAGACTGTATATGGATTCATTTGTCTCCTTATCCATTGTATTCGATTAAAAATAGAAATGCAGGTGAAATTGTATTTCAGTCTTTATAAGGAACATATTTTCTTAAAACAGTGAGAGTTGGAGCATAGAACTTTTCATCAAGATATCACTATTAATAAAACATTATTAGTAGGTATAAATAGTACTGATAATTACATCTTATGTTTGATAGTGATCATACATACATAATTGGTCCTTTAAACAAGCAGGAACATGGCTGACACTGACAAAGGTTCTACAATCTGAGGTACAGGATCTCAGGATAAATCCTGAGGGGATTTCACTGACCTTCTCAGACCCAAAAGCTACAACTCTTGTTGCATAGGTCCTGCTTTACCTTGGTCTCAACCATCCAGCAGAAAAGTATAAAAACAAAGTATAAGAAGTAAAGCCATGCTGTTACATTGAGCTGCAGGGGACTCAGGTCAACAATTTTTGACATTGCCAGTCAAGCGGAAGACCCAATGCTATTATGGACTACTGAATTCTTTTAGAATATTTTGCTCAGTTTACACACCTATAATATTTAAATGATGGAACTTAACAAAAAAAGGGGATACAGATGAATGTTCATTTTGTATCTGTGTATTCAAAGTGGTTAGGATAGATATATAGTTACATTCTCTTAATGAATAGAGGGATTTGTTCTAGTGGTGTTTGTAAATAGGATATCAAGTCCGCATCTTGTACAGCAATTAACCACTAGGAAGAATGTATGCAATGTATTAATTATTGAAACTGTGCTACCATTTTGGTTTGAAACTGTCTCATTGCTATTTGTTTCTCAATAAAATTATGGAAAAAAATAAACAAGCATAAGTATGGCAAAGCAAGACTTTACATGATTTAGAATGCAGTGCAAAATGAAAATATGGGGTCTGTCATTTAAAAATTATTGAAAGTTCCAGCAGAAACATTAGATCACATCTGAGCCCTTTCAAGTGCAGAGACCTAGATGACTGCACAGTTACAAGCCCATGAACCTGGCTATGCCCAGAGCAGGCACATTGAGACAAAAGTTGCTGCTAAGACCGATCAGTAAGCTTCTTCTTATTCACTTATTTCTATCATTTTAGGTCTTCCTACCAACAAGGAGAAGTTCACAGTAGTTCCAGGACACTCCAAGAGCATCAAGGAAGAGGAACAACAGCTGTTCATAAGGAAATGCAAACTTTTCCATGTGTTTTAGTCTGAGATAATAATCATCACTCAATTATGAGTTTGATGATACTTTGAGTCAAGTGATTTAGAACAGATTTTAATGTTTAACTCATCAGTGATCCCCCAACTATTGAACTCTTTTATTGTTCTGGCAGTCCTCCATCTAAAATCAAGTAATCAATACAGCGATCAATGTTAATACAGGTACGTCAATAGGCAGAGAGGCAAGAGGTAAGGCAATGGAAGTGAGAACATTAACACACTGATATCACATACTGTACACAGCAAAGACTGTAACACTCTTCAAATAACCTTATCTTAAATGCCTATAAGACAGGCACAGTAATAGCATACTAATTTATTTAGTCCTCCTACCAACCCTATCAAATAAGAAGGCATTCACAAAAGTAAAGAGCACTTGAATGGATGTCATCCCACCCAAAAAAATGGCACCAGGAACTACTACATCAGTCACAATTCAGACATATTCAGATAAGTACTAGAATAAATTCATGAAAGGGACTATCTATAAAAGTGTGAGCAGATTTTAGAGACGCCAATAAGGAATCATGCAGGACTCTGAAAGGCCAGCTACAGTAGGCAGTGCAAAACAGATTTCCTATGACCCACAAATAGCAGCAGCATAGACTGCCTGACAAGAGAATTAGCCTCCACTGAAGGATCATACGGACTGACGAGGGCTGGCCTCCTCATGGAAGAGCTGGGAAAACAATACTCAGACTACACTCCCTTTCCTTCTTTATAATTCCTATTGCTGCTTTCCACTGACCAAACCTGACAAGAGACCACAAGGAAGTTAAGTTACATAGCACAACGACTCTCAAACATCAGTGTGCATCAGAATCCCATGAGGGTTTGTTAGAACGAGACTGAGGGCCTGTCTGAGATAGGACCTGAAAGTTTGTGTTTCCCATAAGTCCCCAGGTATGGCTGACGCTACAGGTCCAAGGGCCACTCTTGGAAATCCACTGCTTGAAGCTTAATAGGTCAGCCTTTCTGGGCTGAAGCCAGGGTAGAGAAAAGTGGAGTGTACATTGGAAGACATCCAATACAGAAACAATGGAAGGTGGCATGAGGACATTGAACTTACTTATCATCCAAACAGCTGCCTCTGATGGTTGTCACTATGTTTGTTCCTTTTTCCCCTTGTGAAGGTGAAAAGATTCATTTTGTTATCTTGTTGAGAACAGAGAGAAACAAGCATTGAGAGAAGCTTGAAGAATTTTCAACATATTTCCCAATAGTCCCCTTAAAAATCCCCAATCTTGCAATGTTGTCTCACTGCCTTTTACCAACCAGAATTAGAGCCCACAAGGAATGTGTTGACAGAAGTAACAGGAAAGACCTTTGGTTTTATTCCGTATGCCACTATGTTCAAGAATCTACACTGATTTCTGTATAGGAAAATTTAGAAAATTGCCAGTTCCAATGCTAAAACTATGACAGATGTTTATAAATATCCTGACCATAAGAAAACATTAACTTTTTGATGGGTAGGATCATCAATCTAGGATGGTAGTAACTGATCAGGCTGAAATGGACAGTCCCTCAGTTATAATGTCTTTTGCTCTTACTGTGTTTCCATTGAAGGCTAACAATGTGATTATGCTAAAGATAATTGAATCCTTCCTAGCAAAGCAGAAATAAATGTAAAACTAAAAGCTAAAATTCACCCTTCTTTATGTAAACAAAGTCGAACATGTCAGATTAATGAATGACCTACTTGAGGTTGGAGACAGGGATTTAATCTGCATTCGATAGTGGAAAGGTTGTATCCATTTCCTGGCAGAGATCTCAGAACACCTAACCTATATGAAAAATGAAAAGGTCTTAAGAAATATGCAAAGCCATAATTGTTTATACCTCAGGTGCTTAACATTAGCTTTTAGCTGTCCACTTCATATATACAGTATTTTTTTTGTTAATTTAAATTTTGAAAGATGCACATTTTTTTCTGTTTTAATGGGAGAAAGGCTGATGTCAGAAATAGAGTCTTTTATACCACAGTCCTTGTTTCTACATCACTGGGAGGAAAGAAGGTGGTAGATGTAAACCTGCAGAATCTCCACTTAGTATTTACTTCTTTGCAGACACATTTCTAAGGCTATAATCACCTTAGAACTTTAATTCTTAGTACCAGTTTAAGAATCAAACCAATGTCAGGTACAGTGCCACATAAACATAATCCCGACTTCTTCAGAGGCAAAGGCAGATGAAGCATAGCTTCAGGCCAGCCTGAGTGACATAGAGATATACCCTCGATCCCCAATGTCAAATAACAAAAGCAGAAAGAATTAAATCACAGAAGTCTTCCAACCAGAAGTTTAAATTCTACTAGCTTTTTTAATGTTCATAGTGTTCATCCATAAAGCTGGATTTTTGTATTCTCCAGAAGTTAGATTATGATCAAAATATCTACAAAATAGAACAAAAAAAAAAGTGTATCAGTGTTTACTAAAGAACACATTAGGGGCTGGGGAGATAGCTCAGTAGAATAAGTACTTCCCTGGCAAGTGCAAGGCCCTGAGTTCAATCCCTGGTTCCACCAAAAAAAAAAAAAAAAGACAGAAAGAACACATTAAATTGGAGTATTTGGCCAAGTAGTATAAATTAAGTCAGTCCACATTTGTAAGTCATTCAATGCCCCATTTCATTTTCCAATTCTTCCAAGCATATCTGCTTGGTTATACATAACTGCACCAGAAGAGTATGAACTTAGCCATTATTTTGGGTTTTATAACCTAGTTGGCCTATCAGGGTCTATCTTAGTTACTTTTCTCTTGTTGCTAAGACAAAATACCCAACACTCGAAGTTAATGGGGGGAAAGGCTTATTTAGCTCACAGTTTGTAGAGGTTTCAGTTGGCTAAAAGCAGGCAGCATGACAAAGGGGCAATAGTTCATGGCAGAGGAAGACAATAAAAACCAACAACAGCCAAAGGGGAGAACAAGCCTCTTTTCCTCCTGTACATGGTCTGCAGGCTACCTGCCCTAAGGAAGGTATAGCATGCAAACCCCCATCCCATAACTAGACAATGAACCAAGCACAAACTCTAGATTCAGCACCCTCTGAAAATTCTGCCCCTCACGACTGCATGAGGTGTTTGGGGGACATCCAGACACAAACTATAACAGGGTCTTCATAGTAGAAAGGAAGTCTAAAGAGAACTGAGGTTACATGGCAGCTGTAAGAGTGGCAACTGACCTAAATCACAGTACCCATGACAAAGGGGCTGCCTTTTTTGTCCATGCTTTCTCCAATAGATTGATCAAGTGCATAGGGCATGAAATGAAGCAAAATTTCTGGATAACAGTGATTGTCATTTGGTTGGATAGTAATATCATTTTAAAAAATAAAATAAAATCAGTACTTGCCATAAAAACTTCAAACAGTAGAAAAAGGCATAAAGAGAAAATGTTTAAATCTTACTCTTCTTCAGCTTCTATTCACATTTCCCAGCATAGTTTTTGCACTCTTTCAGGCATTTTTCTATGCAATTTTTAAAAATATAAGTATAAATATCCTTTATTTATATATAGTATATAGAGTATGAGATCACACTCTATTGATGTGCAAAATTTGTTTCTCTCAATGTATCTTAAAGATTTTGCCATAATAGTATATATTTATATCATAGAATATATTACCAAGTATAATTACCATTATTTAATTAAACCTTACAGAATTTGGGTTGTTTCTGTTATCTATTTAAAGCAACTTACAATTAAAATAACACTGAGATACCATTTCTCACCTTTCAGACTGGCAATCTAAAAGTTTGAAAGCATACCCTACTGGCAAGACAGTAAAAAAAACAAAGATTCCTGTATATTGCTGGAAGTAATACAAAATAATATAACATCTATGGAGACAAATCCAGCAATATTTGGCAAAATTGATAAATATATTTTTCATAATAAATCAATTCCAGTTTTAGGAAATTATTCCAAAACAACACTTGCAAAAATATTACAGTGCCTGCTATAGAAGTCCTCTGTAGGGGCCAGGGAGATGGCTCAGTGGAATAAGTGCTTCCCTGGCAAGCGCAAGGGCCTGAGTTCAATCACTGGTTCTGAAAAAAAAAAAAAAAAAAAGAAGTCCTCTGTAAAACAGAGGCTATGAGTGATCCTACTGTCATGAATTTGGCAACAGATGGATAGCAGCTGAGAACCTCTCTACAAATTGTCTTTGACTAAAAAGAACCACTTCCAATCCATATCTAATGACTTCCATTGGGTATATAAGAACTCTGGCCCTGGGCTCAGGCAATAGCTTAGCAGTCTAAGTACCTGCCTGGGAAGCTCAAGAAGTCAGCTTCCATCCCCATTACTGCAGCCATGCCAGCCACTGAAACCAAGCATGGTAGCACACACTGTAATCCCAGTGCTAGGAGGCTGAGACAAGAAGATCACTATAAGTCTAAGCGGCTTAGTGAGACCCTGTACCAAGATAAAAAAAAAAAAAAATTAAGAAATGACCTCTGACTCCTTACTCCAAGAAAGAACAAAGTTAAAGAGTCATCTATCTCAAGATCTTTCCATGGGATTAGCTGAGTCCTTTGATACAATTTACCTGCATTTCAACTCTGCCCAATCCTACTTTTTCCACTTCTTCAAAATTGTTGATCCTGAAAGCACTCACCAATAACTTCCTGCATGTGCCCCAAATCTGTAAGCCAACTGGCTAGAGTGGTTCAAGGAAGCAGACTCTAAAATAAGATTTTCCAGCCGGATTATCAGCCACCTTGCAGTACAAGGACATATCACTGGTGGCAGATGGCACACTGATAGGGCCTTGGATGCCATACCAGGGTAACTATTAGAGCTTTCAGATGTATGGAACAGGATAAGATACCATTGGAAAGAAACATGTACTGGCAGATGTAATACTCAGGCTTTTGTGGGGATACTAACTATAAGGACAGCAGGAGCAAATATCTGTTCCAGAGTATAACTGATGAAATAAAGAAGACAATCAAAGGCTAAAAATAATTATCAATTTAAGGGGGGAAATTGAAATGTCAGAGATTTCTTTGACAGCCGATAGCCAAGGGGTTCTCCTACACCTAAAAACTAACTAGGCTCAGGATTTGATTATAATTCCTTATCTTGCATAGTCTAATATGTCAAATTCAGGACCCCAATGAGGAAGGATATCATGGTACGAGGTCTATTTGTGCACAGGGAGATCATTGTCAACTCTTCAAGAAACCTTGAGACCTTCTTTGCATATGAATCCTCTGGGCCTACAAAAATCACCTATTCTTCTCAATTAACAGCTAGCTGTATTTTCACCATAACACCCTTGCTCAAAGATAAGACATATCTCCTTTCCTTTGCTTTTTAAACCTGCTTTGCTTTTCTTACCAGACAAACCATGTGTTTGTGTATATGATATATTCTAATCTCCCTAAGCAAATCAGCTCCTTTTGGGGCCAAAATTTTGTTTATTCTATTCATAGTAGTCTCCCATTTTTCGGAACAATAATTTCCCAGACAGTAATATCTATTAATTAAGTATTTATTCAACAAATCTCAAACTAGAAATGATCAAACTGTTCATTAACGAGCGAATAGGTAAAGGAAATGTGGTATATTCATGCAATAGTATATCGATACCCAGAAGTATAAAGGGAAGAACTATTGACTTATGTGACAACGTATGGCTATGTCTTAAAATCATTATATAGAATCAAAAAAAGCCAGGTATAAAATATTATGTACTATATTATCTCATTTGTATAAAACACAAATGAAAAGCAATTTAGTGGATGCTAAGGATAAAGGATGAAGGGATAGAAGATAGAAGAGAAGAGAGACGGATTATAAAGGAGCACACAGGATTTTGGAGGGGCAATGGACATGTTCTGTACTCCATGGTGCTGATTTTACGGGTGCATACCACCTCACCCAGACTCATCACATTGTACACTTTAAACAGATGTGGATTTTTATGCATATATTACTCCTCAGCTAGGGACACTTGCCTAGCATGCACAAAGCCTTGGACTTAATCCCAGTAGCATACAACATATGCATTGTGTTGATGTTTTTGGGAAGAAATATTATACATATATTTATAATATGCATAAATATATGTACATATATTTCAATAAAGTTGATAAAATATTGTTTAGTCACTTTAGCAGTATATTCACAGCTTAAGTAATACTCTAGACACGTTAGACAAATTGTGCTTGCAAAATTTAACTACTTGCTGCTGGAAAAAGTATTTTACCATTCTGCAGTCAAGAAAGGAGTATCAGAATGCTACTCCCTACACACATAGTGGTAGCTCTTCCTCTAGGCGTCCCTAAGGGCTATAGAATAGGAACTTTTAAAGCTGGCTCAGGCATATATGTGAACTATGCCTGAAAGCATAATTATAGACAGGAAAGAGTATACTTGAATATAGGCTCCATAGTATGATTATGTGCATTTAAGCCATCAATATAAAAAATTCTAAGCATTTCAATGTCTTGATCAACACTTTTCTTAAGGCTAGTGCATGGCACCTCCTTATAAATAAAATTATCTTGATATCATCACATAGTGCTTCTTTCCATTTGATATTACATATACCAGTGTTATAGAGAATTATCAGTATGTAGAATATGAATACCAAGCTTAAGTTTAATTTTTTCTATACAATTATCAATCCTAAAATTATAACATAAAGTCAATTTTTGAAGTTTATTACTTGATCAATTTTCTTATTTTAGTAGTGGGGATCTAATCCAGGGTCACTCTACCACTGAGCCACCTTCCCAGCCCTTCATTTTTAGACAACATCTTGCCAAATT